TATTCTGTGAGAACTGACTCCTTTGAGTACTACAGATACCACAGTTCAAGTGGAAAAATTAATGTTCTTCTAAGTAAGCAGCATTAGTTTTATATCCCAGCTACAAGACTCATGAATTTTCTTTAGTCTGAGAAACAGAAAATTACAACTCATGTTTTTCTTCTAAGTATGTGAAAGTCTCACACATCAGTTCCTGCTACTTAGCATAGGAATTTCTTATCCTGAGACTATAAATAGATCCACAGAGAGAAATGCGCTCTGACTTCAAACAAATCACTAATATTTATGAGTGTGTTTTTTTCTTCCGCAATCTCAAGTGGCATGCATTTAAAAATATCTGATTTAGCACATACCTATGTATTCTGGTCGCATTTACACCAAACTTTGCCTTTTACATAAAATGATTGATCATTTGGCCCGTAATACTGTTCAGGAAAAAAAAATCAAAAAATGAACAGCCAAACAAAACCAAACAACCTCCCCCCTGCAGAAACTAGAAAACACATTCTTTCTCATGACAAACAGAACATGATTTGAAATATTTCTGTATATAAGATCACTTAGTATTGCAAAAACATTATCTGCTGGTTAGCTTATAACAAACCTGTGTCAAGTAACAGAATGCTCACATACACATGCTTGATACTGGCATGTTCAAAAGAGACTTGGCATATTTTCCTGCCTACTTAAAGCCAGGGTCCTCAATTTCCTTGAGCTGCTTTGAAAATTCCATTTTCCATGCCTTCTGTGGTAATTACATTTGAAAATAAGACTTAATTTCTTTAGAATCTATAAATGTAACAGTGGAGTATATCAAAACCAAAGTACCATCCCCAAAATAACTGCAGCTGACATTGTTTTTTTATGTGCTTGGCTGACTTTCTGTACTCATATGCTGAAACATAAGCATGTGTGCTAGCACATTGGCTGGCTCTGGCACTCAAACAAAACACTTTGAGGAAGTTTGACTCAACGTATCAACTTCTCCTCTATAAGTGGAGAATACAAACTTACATATTTTGTGGTTGGTGAATCTTTGGCCTGTATTGTACAGAAAATTCTTATGGTATCGTGTTATGAAAAATCCAGTCATTAGACTTAGTTTTACATTCAAAACCCTGATTCAATCTAATTTTTATAAATATAGCTTTCCCACACTGGATATCTTTTACTTGAAGAGTCAGGAGTATATTTTTAGAACTTAGAAGAACCCATGTAAATTTTTCCTAAGAAAAAAAAGTGATTTCTGCAACATTATTTAGAAACTTAAGGACCATACATCACAAGGTTTTTTTGGCATAAAATATCAAAATATCTGATTGACAGTCATGTAATTCATTACTTTATGATAAGATGTCCTTCAATGAAATGATATGAAATATTGGAAATTATGGTATCTACCTGATCTTCTACAGGATGGGTAGTAATTGTTATGCCAAAATGGAAGAGCCAAGAGCTCTGAAGTAATAAACAAAGTCGTGTATGACCAAACAGATATTTGAAAATTTTTGACGATCTGCCTTTTTTGAACTTGTTCTTTAAACCTGTTTTTAAACAGCTATTCCTCTTTTTGTCTCACTTTCCCTGTCAGTGTCTTGGCTTGTCAGTCACTTTTTTGCTCAAGTTCCTTGTTAATTTGCTTTGTCTTGATGTCCATCATAATTGCTTTTAATATCCACAAAGTGAATGGCTGAACATATGTAAGGTATTTCCCAAGCCTTTTCACAAAGGTACGAAACAAGCATTGATGAAAAACTGAAGAACTGCAAACTTTTCCAGGACCAGCACAAAAGGAAAATACCAAGAATTTTCTTGGATTGCAACTGGAGAGGCAGTATTTTGGCCAGTTCCTGTTTTTTAACACTAATAAACCACACTATACAGAGTATTCATCATTCAGAAACAAAAGATGAAGCAACAACTGGCTCCACAACAAGTGGCTTCATTTTACTGCCGCCTCTACTCCATGCTTCCTACCAACATGCCTTGGAGGTGATCTGATGGGAGGAAGACAGAAAACAGGAAGTTTGGTGACAAAAGGTGTCCACAAATGGAGCAACAGTGAAAAGAAAGTAGCAAATGTCACATGTTTGCTCTGTGGATTTTTTCCTCCAGTTAAACTCAATTCTGACAAGTCCTCAGATGACCTCCTTCATTAATTAGCGGTACACAATTTTCTAATGAAATTAGACCTAATTTTTTCTAGCAGTTCCCTTGGTTTAAAGCACAGTTCATTAATCCTGAACAGGATGAGCCACAGAGGGATGACTGCATTCCTGTTGAGGTTAATTGAACGGAGCTGGCAGTAATAGCAACAGCTGGGGGTAAAAGGCCTATGGAAAGGAAAGGGGGAAGGAGGGGAAATGTCACACAGTCTCTGAGTTTTGGGTTCTCAGGCAAATGTAGCTAAGAAAAATATGACTAAAAGGTAAGGAGATGGTGAGAAGAAACCATTTATTTTTAAAGTTAAGTGACTCTTGCTGATGACTGGGTTTGGACGCTGGGCTGTCCTTTTCATTTTATAGGTTTTTCCTCAGACAGGCAGAAGGAAAATGCCTTT